CTTTAAACTGGGTCTCAGGGAAAAAGCTGCAACAGACTCTGATGCTGGAAAAGACACCTTGCTGAGTACACACAGCTGCAGTTGTTTGGGGGGGGGGAGATGCGTTCTCCAGCTGGGTTTGAAATTGCTTTGCAAATATCTTGTTTACTTCACCTCCCCACCTCCCCCACCAGTCACCTCCATTCCACCTTGCAAATGGGAGCAAGGAAGAAGACCCTCTTCGCGTAACCTTAGGGCTTAGAATGTCTGTCTTATCAACTGGGAAGTTCACCTTTTGGGATTTTCTTCTGGCAGAAGGCAAACTGAGAACAAAATGGGCTGCCCCTGAAGAACATCCAGAAGCTCCAGTTGATGCAAAATGCAGCAGCCCGCATACCTCGATGTGCACGTGTCTCACCTTCTTGTCCGAGAGCTGCATTGGTTGCAGATTTGCTTCCGGGTGCAATTCAAGGTGCTGGTTATGACCTTTAAAGCCCTTCATGGCTTGGGACCAGGTTAACTAAGGAACCATCTGTTGCCGATCACATCTACCTGACCCACTAGAGCAGGGAACAAGGAATATTGCATGTCCTGTCTCGTAGGGAGATACATCTGGTGAGACCCAGAAAAAGGGCCTTCCCCGTGGTGGCTCCCTCCCTCTGGAACATCACCCCCCCCCGAGATTAGAACGGCCCCCACTCTAACTCTCTTCCGTAAGGCGCTGAAGGCTTTGTTCTGCCAGCGGCTGAGGAACCCAGAATGGGCTGGAGCCCATGAAATGGTTTGGGTAAATGTGTGTTGGGAAGTGGTGGTGGGTATTATTTTATTATTTTTCTTTTTATTATTTTTCTTTTTTTATATGGTGTTTTTATATCTGTGTAAGCCGCCTTGAGTCGCCAGGTGCGAGTAGGTGGTAATATAAATTTTTAAAATCAAATAAATCAAATAAATCAATAAAATGGCACTCTATCCCATCAGCATTTGAAATCCAGCTGACCTGGTTTTAGACTTTTTCCTTAGCTTTAGTATTGGGCTATTCTTGAAAACATGTTGGTAGTTTAAGCCAGTGTTTCTCAACCTTGGCAACTTGAAGATGTCCGGACTTCAACTCCCAGAATTCCCCAGCCAGCGAATGCATTCACTGGCTGGGGAATTCTGGG